GCTTCAGTGGTCCAAGTAAGTAGCTGGAGCTGGGTTTGTTTCAGAAGAGAAGGATGGTTTGATGGCAGGTAGATTGAGATGATACGGGACTTGTTACCATTAGGAAAGTAGAGGTCGAGGCAAACTGCTGTTCCTAGAAAGGTATTAATTTTGTGAATATATGGTTGCAACTGGTTGCATATCATTAGAGCTGTTCTTAGGCTGGTTTCTCGTTGGTTTGGTCTATACAGTGAGAAGTTTGATGTATATACTTTGTAGAATGAATTAGTCAATGATTTTGTTGTTGAGTCTTTTAGCTTTGTTTCTGTAAGCAAGATTATATGTAGATTTTCTTTTAAACAATATTCTACCCAGGTTTGTATTTTTAGTGGGTCATTGAATTCTCTGATATTGTGAGTAGCTATGTTAATTTTTTTGTGTAGATCAAGATTCAGTTGTATTGACATATCTTCATTTTCTGCTGATAGCAGCGTTTTTGTAGGAAGATGTATGCTCATTGGTCGTCTGCATAAAGGTCTGACTCTGCTTCAGACATTTGTGTATCTGTTATTGTTGTATGTGTTTCTTGTGGTTTAGGTATTGTTGTCGATGTTTCTGGTTTCTCGAAGATTTCAAAGGATGGCTCGGGTAGGTCTATCAGGTCAAAAATGTATTCAGGTACCGTATGGTATGCAAAGTGTTCTCGAAAAGTTTCTAGAACTAGAGGAATATTGTGGTGTTTTTTTATAGAAATATTTACATTAGCAATTCCTTTTTCTTACTAATTACAAACAGACGACTTACTGCACCTGTAGCTAAGACCTTACAGTTAATTTTCTCATTTGACAAAATGCCAGATACATATATTGCAGACATTAGAGAACCTCTGCCTACCTTCTACAAGCAATTGAGAGTTGAAGTACGATACTTTTTTCCCATCACAAGCAGAGCAGACTTACAAAAATTAGGCCAATATAGAGAATCACTGCAGAAGTTCTACTTCTTTAAACAAATTCCAGCAGAATACTTTGATTTACCTGCTCCTAAGCAACCTCTACCTTGTACACCACAAGACCTAACACCAAGACTAAAGGAGAAGTTCCCATTTCTGCCTAAAAATCAAGAAGACTTCAAAGAGCATGTCAGACTTCTGAGAATAGACTACTCATTCACGAGACTTCTTAACGATTATATTATTTCTCGTAGACGCCTGCCACCAAATCCAGCGCAACTTAAATGACAAACTTCGTTTTTCCTTTACAAAGCAAAGAGGAGGCAAATACTTTTATCAAAAGTATTCCACCTATCTATAATATTCCAACACCACTACCATTAGCATACTGTAACTTTAATTATACAGACCTTCCAGACTTACCCGAAGATGCTAACTTAGCTACTCAGGTCAATTTGACACTACCAATCTCAACTCCTAAAGAATTAAGCATTGCAGTTAAAGCACTACGTGAACACTATTTTTTTCATACAATACCTCAATCCTGAATTGATATAAAGAAATAAAAAGAAAAGGAAGAAGAACCAGAAACAGGATCAAACTTAACAAAACTACCCTCAACAATTGAACAACTTCAAGCAGCTCTTATAGAGAAAAGAATTACAGTCAGACCTCTCTAAATGCATGTCGTCAGGACCAGCTCTAGCACGTGCATTTAGAGAGGTGTTGCATTTAGAGAGGTAAAAATCTATATATATAATATTAGTTGGGTCCAAAAAAAGATGTGCATTTAGAGAGGTGTTGCATTTAGAGGGAGTGCATTTAGGGGAGTCTGACTGTACTAACATAAATATTCCTATAAAAAAACACTACAATATTCCTCTAGTTCTAGAAACTCTTCGAGAACACTTTGCATACCATACGGTATCTGAATACATTTTTGACCTGATAGACCTATTTGAGCCATCCTTTGAAATCTTTGAGAAACCAAAAACATTGACAACAACACCTGAACCACAAGAAATACATACAACAATAACAGACACACAAATATTAGAAGCAGAGTTAGACCTTTATGCAGATGACCAATAAGCATACATCTTTCTACAGAAACGCTGCTATCAGCAGAAAACGAAGATACGTCAATACAACTGAATTTTGATCTACACAAAAAAATTAATATAGCTACTCACAATATCAGGGGATTCAATGACCTACTAAAAATACAAACCTGGGTAGAATATTGCTTAGAAGAAAATCTACATATAATCTTGCTTACAAAAACAAAGCTAAAAGACTCAACTACGAAATCATTAACTAATCCATTCTACAAAATATATACATCAAACTTCTCATCGTATAGACCAAACCAATGAGAAACCAGCCTAGGAACAGCTCTAATGATATGCAACCAGTTGCAACCATATATCCACAAAATTAATACTTTTCCAGGAACTGCAGTTTGTCTTGACCTTTACTTTCCTAATGGTAACAAGTTCTGTATCATCTCAATCTACCTGCCATCAAACCATCCTTCTCTTCTGAAACAAATCCAGCTCCAGCTACTTACTTGGACCACTGAAGCCAGAGCTAAAAACTGGCACTTCATAATTCTGGAAGACTTTAACGCTAACCAATTTTGAGACAAACAGCTCCCTATCTTTACCAACTTAAATGCAGCTAATTTGACTAGCCTTCTAACATTTCACAACATTCAAACACCAACCTGGCAGAGCCCAACTGCAGTTAGCCAAATAGACGATTTCTGGATTTCATCAGACATACTCCTGGCGTTTAACATCTCCCAGCTAATTAACGCCTCGAATATTTCAGGAAGTGATCACCGCATTCTACAAACAGCATAGCATACTAATTTCTCACCACAAAAATGTTCAAGAAATAAAAAAAAAAAACGGAAAATATATTTGTATGAGAAGATGACACCAGAAGATTGGGAAAATTTCGAAGAATTGATAAATAATCTCTTCAATCAACATCCCATCCTCCTCTCAAATATGGACAAAGACAGCACCAATAGAGCCTGGAATTTTTGGGCAGCCAAAGTGAAAGAAGCAATGAATAAACATATCCAACATATATACACTGCTCCAAAACCCTTCTATGCTCTATCACTAAAGGCAACCAAACTACATTCAGCCTTAAAAAATATTAATAAGTGCTTAAACTGCCTTTCGAACAACTCCTTGATCGACTTGCCAAAAACAAACCGATACTTGCTTAGAGCAGCTACTTTAGCAGATATAGATATCTCACCAATAACACAGGAATAACTCACATCCTCTTTTACTACCTTAATAGACCAAATAAAACAACACAAGCATACCATCTGGCAAGCACGAAATTATGAAAAGAGGCAGAAGCAAAGCGAAAGAATTAAATTCTATATTAACCGTAGATATTCAGACCTCAAGGACAATACTAGTCGTATGATAGAAAGCATTTTACAAAGAAGAGTTGAACCAATCAGCTTTGAAAAAGTTGTTTTACCAGATGAAGTAATCACAAACGAAGACAAAATTAAAGAGGCAGTACGTTCACACTTCAAACTGTGGACCAAAAGTAATCCTCCTAACAACACCCTCTGGGAAGAATGGGAATCAACTTATCTCCCACTAAATAATATACAAGAAACTATTTACGACAACCTGCTTATTCCTATTACTATAATAGAACTTAAACAAACTATAAAGATAGCACCTAAAGGGAAAGCAACAGGCCCTCTTAGAATCTCAAATTAGGTTCTTCTTCACCTATCCTCGGTATCCCTTTCCTTTCTTCTGAACATTCTAAATAGTTGTCTAGTTCAAAAAATAATTCCAGACCAATGGTTGATAGCTAATATATGGCCAATACCGAAGAAACAACACTACAAATATGAACTCAACTCTACTTGGCCTATCACATTAATCGATCATATCAGAAAGATATTTACAAAGATTCTTACAAATCAGCTTACAAACATTTTAATCCGTAATCAAGTGCTTTCTCCTTACAACTATGCAGCCTTTCCCTTCCAGTCTACACTCCAACCAATTTCGCAGCTCACCCACATTCTAGAAGATGCAACCACGAATGACAAAGAAATTTGGATCCTTTCACAGGATATGTCAAAAGCCTTTGACTCTATCCATATACCCACTTTGTGCAAAGCTCTTACAAGGATATGCATTCCAGAGAAGGCTATAAATCTACTATCCTACCTGCTTCAAAATCGAAAAAACAAAGTGATTACAAGCTTAGGACTAACTGCACCATACCTAGTAGAAGATGATATAGACCAGGGGGAGACAATCTCCCCCTTGTTGTGAAAAATCTATTACGATCTACTGATATCAAAAATACACAAAGAGCACCAGGGCTTCTGTAGTGAAATAGCTTCACCTCAATCAAAAGAAATTCATGCTTCAGTAATGGCATATATGGATGATTCCCTATGGATCGCACCAAACAAAGAATCACTTACTAAAATCCTTAATACTGCCTCCTCATTCTACAAATTTGCCAGTATAAAGGTTAATCCACAAAAATCTACACTAGTAACAAACTCTACAGCTCTGGATAAAACTATAGCTTTCGACAATGAACAACTAACAGCAATTACAAATGGAACACTATTTAAATACCTGGGAGCATAGTTCTCAACAAATAGAAAGCCAACATTAGTACAAAAAGAAATTATGGCCGAAGCAGTAATTAATCTAAAGAAGCTACAATTCGCCCACACAACGGAAAAACAAACAATTTATATAATCAATAGTGTTATTACTCCTCGCTTCTTATACTGACTATACTCTTCTTTTCTATCAGCCACGCAAACAAATGCTCTTAACAAAACCTGCATTAAACTAATCAAAAACAAAGCAAAACTAGCACGAGGAGTCCCCAACTCCTTCATATTTAACCCAGACATTTATGCACTAAACAACTTAGCTCAAGCCCAGCTTTCATCATTAGCATTGACACTGCAAAAAAACTTAAACCACCCAGCTTTGATTCATCTTTCTTAAAGCTATGGTTACAACAACTACAGGATGCAGCAAACACCAATATGTCCATTCTTTCACAGCTTCCGGTCTTCCCAACTATACAAACCTATACACAAACCTGCCAAATGATACTGGCACTACATGCACTTGGATTGCAAACTTCACGCTATGGAGACAATTGGCCCCTCCCAAAAGAATTCATTGGCACTCCAATAAACCAGATTCTTCTGGACCACCCTAAGGCTTCTTACTTCAAAGAGAAACTAAACAATCACAAAGTCTTTAGTGTCGAACAATTTTTAAACGCAACCAATACTGAACTCCTAGAGTGGAATAACTTTCACCACAATATCAAAAAAATACCTAGAGGCCGATGCCCACATTGGTTTCATACAATTCAAGACCTAATAGCAGGCACTACAAACCCTTCATCAATATTTTCACAATTAAACCCTCATACCTTAACTAGCTAGACCCATAACAGAAAAAGCTGGATAATCACAAATAAACTAATTATTGGGAAAATGCACAACTCACTAAACCAAACATTTAAAACCCGACACTACACCTTACAATCGAATAATACACTAACCGCTTGCCAGGGCTGTAGTCTCAAAAATCATTATTATTATTCCAAATACTGCTACTTTAATGCAACAAAACCATTCTACAACCTTCAAGTAGATTGCAAAAAAAAGATACACATCGATTTAAATGACTTTAAAAAGGTATTAGCTCTCAGCTCGGCCCATACATCCTCTTCCGATAATTCCAGAACACTTACAACTCTAACTAGACCTCTTTGTGCCTTCACAAACCCTCCTATCTCGCTCTGGGATACACTTACAAAAATTAATTTCAAGGCAAAAACCCTGACACTAATAATGACAAGTACTCGCCAAACGATAGGAAACAACCAGCACATTGTAGCAAAGTGTTACCTTCAATATAACTATACTCCATTTGGATGCTATACCAACTCTTGGCCTTCACATGTACACACACTACTTACTTTGTTGAATTTCGTCCTTATGACAACAAACCCACAAACATCTATCATGATCCATACAAATAATCTCTCCTTTGCCAACCTAATCAACCTTACACACTCGGTTCAGTCACACAACTATTCTATATTAGATAAAC